ATACCGTACCATTTAACGCGTTCTTGGCCCTCAGTAATATAAGAGGTATTTATTTAATAATGAAAATTGACTGTAATACCTCACGCATGCTTGAGCAATGGCAAATCCGCTGTACTGTTCCCCAGTGAGGTCGTTACTGATTGGATAACCTAGCTCCCATGCTGCAGCTAGTATGTCGTTTGCAATTTCCGGTTGATTTGGAAACCTGCTAACTGTCATATAGCCTCCTCTAGCATGATATCGCCGATCAATGAGCGTACCAATTTCAAGATTATCCTCCGACTTCAAAAAATAAGGAAAGACATCGTTGTAACCCCACCCTTCATTACCAGCTTCTTTCCAGTTGTCGTAGTCTTTTGGTTGACCTCTCATGTACATCATTCCATTCAGCACACTTGTACCTCCTAGAACTTTGCCTCTCGGCCAGGAACATTTTTCATCAGGATAACCTAAACAGGCTACTGGTTCTGATTCAGTCTGATAAGCCCAGTCTATTGGAGTATCCTGGAAGTTCACTACCATCGCTGGTACCTAAAGAAAAGAACTCATTTAGATAGGTAAAGAAAAAAAGAATGGAATGTGTATGAATAATTAATACTAGAAATAATTGATAATTAATAAGCTTTTATTGAGAGGAGTCTAAGAAATGCGTTTCAAAGAGCTGAGCCTTTAGAGAAACAATATATTTTTAGAGGCAAAGTGATTTTGTTCAGATCCTAATCCAATAGTGGCCGTAAACGTCTTAACCAATCGATACTTTTAGGTTTCTTGTTTGTTGTGCGCTTCAGTCGTTTTTCTCATTTAGGCAATTTACTACGTATTAATGTTGTCAAGGAAGATTGCACAGACGGATAGAATTTTATCCTTTCAACCAACAGTGCTAACTGTATATTAACGTCTCAATGTTCTTACTGCTGTGACTCAAACCTACTGTTTGCCTCTTGATATGCACCTACAGCATATGTTTTCAAAAATTTGAAAAGCTAATTACCACTAAAAACAACAAGTAATGAATTTATTAAACATGCTATTTTGTACTAGTTTTATTATGATAAAAAAATCTAAATTATTTTTATTATGCCATACATCTTGTAACGATGAAGTGTATTATGGTCAAAAGTGTAAAAGAGTTACAAATTCGTTGCGATTAAGTTTAAATACATTAATCTTCTAAGTCTACATCTTTGCTTTTCTACAAACCTTTATAGTGGTTCCATTAATTCGATTAATATTATAATTTTCTATTTTTGTAGCCAAGAAGATTAGGTTCATGATCACAAATTTATCACCGAAGCTACCAGATACAGTAGTTCTCATCAGCACACAGCACGTAGTTTAGATAAAGAAATGAATAAATGAAAGGTATTTGCCAAAGATTATGAACTACTACGACTAGCAGAAAATATACCTCTACAGATGGAGATATACTGCTATCTCCTTGATTTGTAATAATTTTACATGAAAAGGATATTATTTTGTACTACTTTCAAAAAATGAAATCAACAGACTTTTGAGCTACACATTACTACTGCTATGTCATCTTCTAATTAATCTAAGCGTGCTAATCCTTTGTATCTGTATGTCTACCCTTACAGCTGTCCTGTCTTTATTTGTATTAACTTTTGCATATTTCCCCATTCAACATTAATTTATTATATTGGACTTAAACGCTAGCATTAAAATTCAGTATAAAAAAGATGGGCAAATTGATACGATGAGCAAAAATTATCTCCATTGCCTAAATTCCAGAGACGATCCTTGTCGTTTTACGGTCCATATAAATTGAATTGGGTACTTTACGACCCCAGTGGTAGTTAAAACTCAAAACAGATTTTTAAAGAAGGTCACGGTAAGATAAAAAGTAAAAAATTAATAAACCTGCAAAGACAAAAATGTTATTTGGTAGTAAATTAATGCGGTTTTTAAGTAGCCCAAGTACAACATCAGGAACGAGTTTTGCAGCAAATTAGTATAAATTATGTTGATCTTGACTTTTTACAATGCTATTAAAGCAAAAAATACTGCATAACGAAACCAATATACCAAATCAATTGAATTTGCGTTTATTTAATGGAAACTCAAACCATTATTATCATCACCATTATAAGATAGTCAGTCCTAAGATTAATTGAACACGTACCTCCACTCTTTCTTAGCCTGAGCTAATCTTCGCATTTCCTAAAACTAGAATATCCCACATCCCTAACTATTTATGAACAGTAATCTAATCTAAGTCTATCTCTACTCCTCAGCTCCTGTGTTTACTTTTATATGTTTCTAACTAGCCGTTCATGCCTGAAAAGGTATCCTACCAACCCATCTGGCCTATTTCTTATTGAGTTCCATAGCGCCATCGGTTCTCTTCGTCTTTCTAATGCCTCCTCATTTTTCAGGCTTCTTATCTTTTCTTTTCCGCCGCAGCTACCGCCTACGTTTCGCACTCGTTTAGCACCCTACTCCGGGCGTTCACCAATCTTTTTTAAATTTCTAAATTAACCGTTCGTGAGCACAAGAGCGACTTCTTTTTGTTAAAGCCGATCTCGACCTTGCACTGTCTTCTGTTTTATATCTGCCCCTTTCATCCTGACTAGATACCGAAAAACAGCTACTTCTTCTAATTTTTCGTCTTCTATCTATATATTCACTGTTTCCCGATTTTTTGTCCTCTTACATGCCAGCATTTTTGTTTTACTTTTAAATTTTCTCATACAGTACTACTTCCATTTTATTAAAAATTATCTTTAACTCCTCATATTTGTTAAATGCTGATACTGCTACATGATCTGCAAATCAAACCGTACTAATCATTTGCTCCTGTATGTCTATCCCTAAAGTTATCCGGTCTTTAATTATCATGCCAAAAAAATTTTCATTTCTTATTTATACCCATCCTTGGAAGAGGTGTTGACAAAACAGTATTGTGTGAAAATAAATAAATGTAAAACAGAAATACTGGTTGGTAAGAGAGAAAAAAGTAGGAAAAGAGTGAATATGAAGATAGGAGACGAAAAACTAGAAGAAGTTCGAAAAAGATGAAGGTCTAGTCAGAGACATATTTGAGGCTGAATCAGGAGTTAGGAGGAGTAGAGGTAGACCTAGATTATATTACTGCTCACAATGCGAAGATTAGCTCAGAATAGGAAACAGTGGAGGAGCGTGTCCAATCAATCTTAGGACTGATGACGTTATGATGATGATTTAATCCTTAAAAAGAGTGGCACATTTTTGTTATAAACTAGATCGTTTCTATACATTGTCGCATTTCTAACTTGGAAACAACATTGAAAACTGATATCAAAACAAAGATTTGAAAGGAAGAAATGATTCTATATGTCCAAACAGGAGATGAGTTCAGACTTTATTTGTAAAATCATAGTCGCTTGAATTACAACAATTAAAAAATGAATCCGGTGGTGAAATGTAAAGAAATCCTTTATAAAAATAGTTTCTTCCTTTTCTTACAAATTTGAATAGTTCAGCAACAAATTGACCTATCGAGTTCTACAAATTTTCATTCGAATTAAGGTTAAGAGCTTCATCTCGATACCATAAAAATATGGAAAGGGTTATTTTACTATAAACTGCTAATTGCAAAAATGGTAACTTTTAATCGTTTTTCGACACTTTTGCAATAATTATTCAACAAAGTTGGTCGCATTGACGGTTTTTAAATGTCGGTAACTTTTCAGTGGAAACTTGTTCAATGCAAACATTATACTGACGATGAGTTATAGAACATAAGACATGAAAAAAAGGAAGAATTTGCAACTTTTACGCCTTCCAAAAAATAATAACGAAAAGTTACATACGGGGAGTAGTAGGGCCAAAAAATTATGAAATCAGTAACACACGATTCCGCGTTGAAAGGTTTGTAATCTATAAAATGACACATTGACTGTTTATTGATGCTGATAGCAGTGCATTTATGTTGTATTATCTCATAAATAAAAGATATTTAATATATACATGTATATTACAACATTTTCATAATAGAATGTAAATTAAGTACTATAAATGGTTTTCTGAATTTGTTCCGTTATAAAAAATGAAATTGTTTCTTGAACTTAGGAAAATGACTTTTTACCGTCTTCAAGGAAATTTAAATTTTAACGGATGATTTGGATACTTCAATATTCCAAATTCTCTAAACGCCATTCAGTTCAGATTCCGTTAGTTTTTGTTAAAAGTATTTGTTTTGTTATTATTGTTTCTCACGCAAGAGATATTTAAGTGAAATTATAGAAAACTAATTTGTGGTCAACGAACCTTTTGTTAAATTTTGACCATTACACTGGATATCGAAAACAATTAAAATACCATGATCGCTTAATGCTTAAAGTGAACATTAGTAATCAACGACTTCTCATTCCTATTTTCTATATATCTGTCCATTCCACAGATACATGAATTTCATTGCGTTTTACCGTTCCATGACCTCCATAAAAAAGGTTAACAGACGTCCTTGATGGACGCATAAAGATCACATAAAATTTTGTAGCGGTTGTTGTTCATCCGCTTCTTTTAATTATTATTGCACTATAGTACCGTAAGAGTGCATTGCCCTTTTTAGAATGTCCGGCAGGTAGAATCAATGACTTAATTCAACCGGCTGTATTGTAATTAAAACGAAATAATTATATCCCACCTGAGCAACTTCAGAATTCAATATTTTACCAAGCGAGAAATAGTAAAATGTATACAGCCTTCCGTTGACTTTTACACTATTAATTACTTTAAGAGAAAGGGAAACTATTACTAACAAGCGTAAGAAAAAAGTAAAATTTTACTAGATGCACTTTCTCAAATGTATTAAAAAGAGTGTGCAGTGATTTTTCTAAATTACCAGAAAGTAAATAATTTTTGGATCTCTAAAAATTGAAATGGTGAAGTAAAGTTGCGATGTTAAATATTCTTTTATTTATCATCAACTTCATTTTTTTCTGTTTCACATTTGACAACGAATGAACTTCAGATTACTATCTTAACAGCTTTAATATGATTAAAGAATTAATTAACAGATTACATATCCAGAAGGAACGTATTTATTTAATAGCAATAATTATTAGCACGTATTGTATCATTATAAAGTTGGTAATTATTCTTTTTTTTTTTCTTGAATTGTCTGTAGCTCATGTTACACGACTGACATAACGGCTATTGTTTCAAGCTGATAATTTAACGTCAAAATAAGTAATCAGTTGTTTATAGTTCTCAGAATAAAAGTGAACGTATGAGCACAATAATTAATAACAATTAATGCTTGCGTATTTTCATGAAAGGAAACAAAATACAAACTCTTGCACACGGATGGCTAATCCGCCAACCGGTTATTTCGCCGGCCGGCAGAAAAGTCGGAAGAAATTATTTTACGTACGTTTAAGAAGAACCTAACATACAACGATCGCGGTATTTTGTTGGCGAACACACGAACGCCGGTTGGCAAATTACCCGGTACATTTGTTTCAAAATATGCAAATCTATGTAAGTCGACACACGAACGGTGATTTTATCGTCGCCGTTGTAGGTACATG